ACTTTGGGGTGCCTGGGTGCTCAGTCAGTTAGGCATCTGACTTCCGCTCAGGTCACGATCTCGTGGTCCGTGAGTTCAAACCCCGTGTCGGGCTCTGTGCTGACGGCTCAGAGCCTGGAGCCTGCTTCCGATTCTGTGTCTCCCTCTCTCTGCCCCTCCCCCAGTCGTGCTCTCTGTCTCTCAAAAGTAAACATAAAAAAATTTTTTTAAAAAAGATGCGTCTGATCCGAACACCACAAAACTGAGAAGGGAGCTTACTCCTGAACAAGCCTTTCCTGGAGAAAAGGGCATCGCCAGCTGGGATGCACCAGCCCCTTAGTGGACCTTTGTCCCATCTGGCCCACACATTGCCACTGCCGGCCCGGGCCAGTCCACCACGGATGGCACCCTGCGTGAGGGCTGACAGGCTGTCCCATGTGCCCAGCCCGTTTGCTTGTGGACCCTCCACTCCTTGCGCCCGCCCACCCTGGGGTGGAGGCTCCACTGTCACCCCCCGTGAGCTGGGCACGTCCCCATCCACCGGCTGCAAGGACCCCCGCCCGGCACTTTGGACACTCAGGCGCCCCTGCATCTTCCTGGAGAGGCCACTGGGATTAGGAGCCGGCAGGAGGGGGTGCTCTTTGGACGCCGACGGGGGTTCCCCGCTGCCCCTGCAGAAGCTGGAGTCGCTCTGTCCAGCTTCTCCGAGCGGTGCCTCCATTGTGCCTTTCTTGGAGCTGCAGACGCGCCCCAAGCTGTCTACAAGGCGTCAGCGGGGAAACAGGAAAGCACCCGCTGCAAATCGGCGGCCCGGTCCCCCCCTCCCCCGGGGGGCTCTGGAGTTACTCAGCTCAGCCTCGGAGCCTACAGCATACAGCTCTCGAAGGCGCCCAGTGCCAGCGTTCTAAAAACATTTGTTAAGCCTTTAAATTCCTTCTTTAAAGGAAAACTTGCCCACAGAGGCAGTAAGTAAAATGAACGAACCAAGAAGTGCTTGGGATTTTTTTCCCCCGTGGTTTCTAATGTTTCGTTTTGGGGGGAGGATCAGAGACTGAGGCCTGCACCCCGCTTCTTGCACAGCGCTGGCATCCCGAGGGCTCCTGGGGTTCCCTGACAGCCGTGCTCTAGGGATGGGAAGTCCCCACTCACTTCCACTCTGTCACAGAACGGGGAGCCTTCAGGACCGCTGGGGCACACGCCTGCACTTTTGCAGGTGACACAACCTAGGACCAGAAGGTCAACTGGCTCGGCTCAAAGCTGAGCTCCTGGGCGGCAGCCGCCTTTAGTCTGGACCCGGCTGTCTTCCAAGCGGGGGACCCGCCAGGGGTTCTAGAGTGTGCACTGTGCAGATGGGTTGTTGCACGAATGGGTTATGGACTTCCCTTCTTTGGGTTTGCAGCCCTTAACACGGGGAGAGGGTGACAACTGTCTGGGTGACTCAGGCGTGCTGCCACGGGGCAGCTCAGAACTTTTAGATAAGAGGCCTGCCGGGCACGGTCCAGGATGGGAGCCACAGGCTCAGTGGCTCTTTAAGTGAATTAGAATGAAACAGAGTAAGACGCTCAGGTCCTCAGGCTCAGCAGCCGGAGTGGCGCCTGTCTGTATCAGAGAGCAAAGAACAGAACGTTCCCACCGTCGCGGGATGTCCTGTAGGACACGGCTGCTCTAAGTTGCTGGGTCCCCGACTGTGGCCCGACACCAGCCTCCCCTGAGAACTCATCAGCGATGCAGATTCTCAGGCATCCGACTCCCCTGGGCAGCAGACCCTGTGTCCCCAAGCCCTGCGGGAGACCCCGATGTGCAGCTGGAGGCTGAGGACCTCCGCCTGAGCCACCGGGGAGGGTGCTGTTTCTACAGTTTCATTTCTGGGGCCTGGTGTCTCGTCATTTCCCTCACTGCCGCTCAGGAGGAGTGGTCCACACTCCACGTGGGAACAAAGGGAAGAAGGGCGGGTGACTCACCTGGTCTCTGTCCTGAAGGCGCACAGGTGAGAGCAGGGCTGGGTCGTGGGTCGTGGGGTTGGGGCGGGGGGGGGGGGGGGGGGGGGGGGGGGGGGGGGGGGGGGGGGGGGGGGGGGGGGGGGGGGGGGGAGTTCACGACATCCTCATGCAGCAATTGGCCTTTTCAAAGGACTTCCCAGGAAGGGTGGCTTGTGCTGGCAGGCAGGGGACAAAAAGGCAAGTTTCCGAGGCTGCCCCACGTGAGATTTGGAAAGGCCTGTGCTGGTGCCTGCTGACGCAGAGAGTGCGTTCTAGAGAAGAGGCGGCTGGCCTGGGGGCCCAGGGCAGCCCCCCATCCTGAATCTGACCAAAAGCCCC